ATATATATATTTGTAACAGATATTGTGAGATACTTTGCTTCCTGTCCCTATCCAAAGCTGTGTAGAAGGTAGGCATTTGGCTAGAGGGGCATCAGGGCTTCGTTACGACGTCCTGTTTGGTTTAACGACACCTTCTTTCAGCTGGTTGGATAGAGGAGGAGGGGAGTGATTTTACAGGTTCAGTAGCTGGTGGTGTCACAATCTCTGGTCACTTCGTGATGTTTTTAATGTAATATACTGTGGTCACTTTCCATGTAGCATCAATTATGCTAATGCTAGCTGCCTGTCACGTTCTCTCGTCCTGGCCACACCTCCGCTCTCTAACCCCCCCTTCCCTACCCACTTTGATGCATTTTTCAAATTCCGCCTTGGGGCGGAGTTATCTTTCCACGGGGGGGGGGGGTAAGATACACTTTAAAGTGTTGACACCCTCATCCAAGTTCCTACCTAAAAGTCCGGAGGAAGGGTAAAACTGTTCAGTAGATGCATTCAGATAAAGGGGACTCGGTCTACCCATGGGATGATGAAATCTCCGAAGTCTTTTATTTCAAATCCTGCCCACTGTTGTGGATTGCAGACTGGGTGATTTGGCTGCTGTCTCATAGTGGTGAATAAAAAGCTGAAGAAAAGCTGAATTTTCTCAGTCAGTAAGTCTGTTTCCCAACCTGCTGCTCTTACCTCCTCAGCTGCAGCCTCAGACAGAAGTCCTTCTTTCTGTGCGCAGGTGACATGAAAGTAGGATCGGCACATTCCTGCATCACAGCTGATGCATACTCCAGTCCTGGCAAAGCGAGTGTCTTCACAGAAGCTGCACTCCTTCACAGAACAAACAAGACGAAACTTCGAGCTGAGGTGGCAAAAAAGCTAAAGTGGGTACTAGTCACTCACTTGGGTATGAACATTTCCTCCACATTGTGACTGCCAAAAAATAATGGGTCAAAAGGAACTGTTTTAACTCAATGTTTCTTTTTTTTTTTATTTCAACAGTCTGACTCAGTTTTAACCACCAAAACACCATTGTAACTAACTATGTAATGCCTCACACACACTAAGCGAATACTACTTGTTACTTACCTTCACAAGTTTTAGACATACCATTTAATCAGTATATCCAACTCAGTATTATTAGTCAGGATGTGAAATAAGAACTTGCCTTTGCTCCATATTTTGAATAATTCATCTCAGTAAGCGTCACTGGTCGTAGTTTATCGATATCTCCAAACGCTACCCCAGGGACATAAAGTGCACAAACCACATGCACCCACCTGGAGGGTAAAGAAAAGAAAATACAACATATATTTCATGATGAAATGTAGGTTGTAAATGTTGGTATTTAAATGCACTGATTTTAAGAAAAATGTTGTGAAACTAATTAAAATATATGACTGTGGATTATTTTTGCATTTAGCACAAGAAATTGCTGCAGACAATGGAAAGCGTAATATCCTTAAATTGGCTGCAGTGAGTTGTTCAGAGACTTCAAAAAGAAATGAGCTCATAGATTAGTATGGCCCCAGATTGTGGCTACAGTTTGGTGTGACACAATTTCAAATGCGGACTTTAGGGAAGAGAATCCGAAGTCCAATATAAAGATATCCATCTCTAGCAAGCAACCGCTTCACAGTTTAATTTGCTGTGTTTTTCATGCTCTAGTGAAGTAGTAAATTCAGCAGCAGCCTGGCTGAGGAGCACTATCAGCGATAACGTGGCTGAAGTTTCCATGCTTCACATAACACACTCTTTTCTCTCACTCTTTTTCTTCCTCTATCTCTTCTATTCCTTCCATCCCCCTCCCTCATTCCTCTACAAGTTTTTTCCTCCCTCCCCTTTAATCCAACTTCCTTTTTTCCCCAGCAGTGAATAATCAATTTGTCCAATTTCGAAAGCCTTTATGCTGCCTGCTGCCTTCTGCTGAGCTCAGACCAGTAGGTGTTATTTGTTTCTGACTATTCTACATGTCCTGCCACTCATAAATGGCATCGCACCACAGTGGTGCAGTATCCCACCTTCCAGCATCTGTTTCTTTGAAGATGCCATCTTGGTTTGGGCACAGCTCACAGCTGGGAGTCACTCCGTTCTTGCAGGCGTCACAGAACCATGGCTCTGTTGAATTTTCAGAGGCTGAGCTCATAATTGAGTCGCTTTCACCGTCCACACCGTAACACCCTGAAATCACAGAGAACTCTGGCTGTTATGAAGCTAATGATGTAACAAACACTATTTATTAAAGACATTTTTTCTCATACGGACTTCTGTGTTATTTTCTTCAGGAAGTTTGTTGAGAAGCATGCAGTTTCACCCATTATCAACTGGGAGTGTCCCGATACCAGTTTTTCCCAAACCGAGTACAAGTACTTCAGTGTGGGTACTCGTCAATACAGAGTACCGGCACCAAATATTTACTGAGTTACTGAATAGGAACAAGGTGGAACTGACAAACTTTTCACTTGAAATATAAACTAATACATTTAATTGAGTATCGATACTGGTACTGGTACTGGTCTCCAGTATTGGGACATTTTGTACAAGAACTTTTAAAAACGCTGGTGATAACAGTATTGGTATCGAGACACTACTTGTAATAATTATTTCTTAATCGAGTAGGTAGCTTGATGAGAATGTGAGTACAGTGGTTGTACTTCGGATTAAAATATTTGAACAGGCCCTAACATTAAATGTAGTAATTGTTCATCAATTTATATTAGGGATAGTCAATTGGCGGCCCACAGCCACCTGCCAATAAAGTTTTTTTTTAAAATAATTTAAAAAACAATTCTTTTACTTAATTTTATATAAAAATTGATTTAAAATAATTTGTAACTGTAGAGTTTATCTTTATGATTCAATACGACAAAATAAACAAATTAAAAAAGGTAAAAAATAGTACTTATTCCTTTACATACTGCAGTGTTTTACCTACCATTAATGGGCAACACCCCCTTCAAAGCATCCGGCCCCCCAACTGTTGGCTTTGAGTAACCATGGCCCCTGGAGTGATTTAGTTGAATAGCCCTGATTTATATCATAGCAACTTTGGTTATATACACAGTAGTGTTTGGCTAAAACTAGGGATGCACCAATCTGCCAACTAGTGACCAAACACAGCTTGTTTGGCCAATATAAAGATTAAAACACTGCAGTGTTGACATGAACAACTAAACATAAAATTTGTGGTGAGCATTATGTGAAATTCTAATCCTATGGTAGCCTGGTCCCACACACTGTCAGCTACATCACACGCTTGAGCCACAATGCCAGCTTAAGGCCCCCACATACTCGAGCATACTTCGGTCCGCAGAGGTCCACGCAGACTCGAGGCAGACTCAATGCGGATCCGAAGCGGACATCCGCCGGACTGGTCCGCACAGAGATCAATTTTTTATGTCAGCGTCCGCGGTGCGCACAATGGCATGTTCTGTTCTGGGTGTGACATCAAGCAGATAAAAGTTGAGAATCGACGTCATTTGTGGACGAAATGGAGTCAAATCTTGAAAAGTGTCTCATGGAGGAATATAGCTAAAGACTTTCAGCGAGGAACAAATTTGTGGGAGGAAATAGCTCAGATCCTGGGTAAGGTAGTTCTTTTCTTTTTTTTTCTTTTATTGTTTTAAAGCTAAAATGCAAACTATCTCTTCCTCCTGATCCTTGACATCCTGACTGAAATTGCGAGAAATTAAAGAATTCGTCCGGCGGTCAGTACACTTGAGTATGAAGACTCAAACATCCACAGACAATATGTGTGGAGTCCTCGGGGCTCACGGATCGCACACAGTATGACTGAGTATGTGGGAGCCTTAAGTCTTTCAGATATTCAACCTTCGAGCTCTATTATGACCTCCATTGGCCACTCAATAGCTATGTTTACATGCGCAAAATTTTTTGACCGGATTGAAATCTATTTGGATTAAAAAATCTGAATGTATCGTTTACATGGGCACAATCCGATCATTACGAGTGTTTATATGCACCATGCTTTTATTCAGAATAGAAGCACTGACATGTGCAGTTGCCAACTTTCCCTCAAAAAAAAACAGAAAAAGTTCTACTTTCGTCATGAAAATAAACAAACAGTTTCTGAGCTCAGAATGGACCTGCGACAGGTTTTAATAATGGTGGAGACGTTACTGCACTCTGGTTCAGCTGCTGGTGACGTGCAGATTTTTTATTTTATTTATTTTTTGCGAAGCGGCGCAGGCTGTGTGTCTTCCTTCTTTATTGAATGAGAGAACTTGAGGAAAAGTTCTCTGCTGCTGGAAACCGATTGATGAAAGTCAGCAGACATGCGCAGTCAGGTCAGTTTTCTACAATCTGAATAAGATGATCAGATTAAGTGTTTACATGCACGTTGTTCGGATTATCAATCGGCATAAACCACCTCTCTCATTCCGAATACCAATTCATTCAGATCGAGCTGAATCAGGTCAAAATAATCCGAATGGGGTGTTTACATGGCACATTTTCATTCATAATGGCCATTTAATCGGATTACTTATGTCCATGTAAACGTAGCTACTGTTGTGACGAGTTGACTTCAACCAGCCCAGTGCCATTTTGAACTTTTTATAAATCACAACAATAAGGCAAAAAGGCATCTAAAGTCCAACTTTAGGTGGTTTATGAAAAAGGCTTGCTTGAAATAGACGTGACAGACATCTGATTTCCAAAAATCAAATCACACTGAAATGAAACATCCATCCATCCATCCATCCATCCATCCATCCATCCATCCATCCATCCATCCATCCATCCAATATCTTCTGCTTGTTCTGAAGTTGGAATGTGGGGGTAACAGCTTACGCAACTAAAATATTTTAATTTTAAATTAATGTGTACCCCATGAAACTAAATCTGTACCAAACTGACTTTTAAAAAAATGAGATACATACCCTGTTTGAGTTCAAAACAAACAATAAAAATGAAAGGTTCTTTGATATTTGTCTCTAGCTACTATAAAAATAGAAGACTTTTATAGACAGGTTAGAGTTCCTTCCAATTACTACTTTAAAACATGCAGCATTTTCATCTCAGTTTAATCTGTATCTTGAACGAATAGGAGATAAAAAAAAATGTAGAAAAGTCACTGCTGTCTGGTCCAAAGTTGTCAATATTCTGTGGCACTGCAGTACCACAAATTGAATATTTAATGTAAAAAAAATAGCCCCAGAGAATCAAGAAAAAGCCAAGGAAACACATTTTTATGTTGTCCTCTTAAATTTCTGAGGTTGCCTAAACAATTACTTGGCTGATGTGGTTTCTATGGCAGCTATTACACCAGACAAACGTGCTCCTCACTACCAATGAGGGCAGCAATCAGCGCACTGCCTCCTTTGGGGAGATAACACTCCAGCTCCTAATTCAGTCAAGCAGCCTTCAGGCTTTTTTGAGCAGTGGGGAAAAACTTGCAAATCAAAAAGCTCAATGTTCTGCAGGTTTGTCATTGCAAGCCACACTGGGGAGTCAGGCAGCCCATCAAAAGCAAACAATGGTGCAGACTGAGTTGTTTATTCAGTTCTTCACTTTGTTTGGTGGCGGCATGCTTTCTGATTGAAAAACCATCTAGTGTGTGTCAAAATGAAATGTTAATTCTGACCTCTTCTTCTAGAAGTTGTGATGAGAATATCTAAAAGGTCTTATTTATCTATTGGAAATCACAAAGGCTATTAGTTAACAAAATTGCTACCTACCAAGTGGTATACCAGCTGGTTATTCTGATTCTTCCAACAATAAATTGAAAGGAACATAGCCTCACATGTTTATTTTTGTGAAAGATCTTCCTTTAAGTATTCATAAAATTATGTTAAAAATTAAAATTAAAGTGTTACTGCTATGACACTGGCAGCAACTGAATGCTGCACCTTTACTGAAAGAGCTGTGAAAGTGAGGGTTGTGAACGACGACCAAGCAGGTTTACCAGCTTTATGGCTAAACCGTGGTAAAAACCTGTACTTTTCCTTTTGAACTGCAATACTAAGCTCAGACTCTTAAGCCAGGGCTTGCTGGCTAATATGAGCTAAGCTGACAAAAAGTGATGACAAATGGATAACTTTGTTATATCTGAAGGGAAGATTATTCTTGTCGAAATGACGAGCTTAGCAGAAAAAAGTAGAGTTGAAAGAACAGAATAATACTTTTACCTGGATTGAAATTTAGCTCAAATCTGTCTTCTTGTCTTCAACAAAGGATAACTAAATAGGTTTTGTAGTTTCACAAGAATTAACGACATGCAGAACTGAATATCAATCAAATAAAAAAATACAATGTCACAGAAGTGGACGTTTTATAAAGAGATAAGAACTTTGCCATATTTTTTATTATCCATCATGAATCTATCGTTATAAAAAATCAGCAAACACTTTTCAGTCCCAAGGTTTTAAGCATTAACATAAATATTAATAATTAAAAAACAAGTAAAAAACAAATATTTTTCAGTTTGATTACAACTAATCAAAGCTGTTGAGTGATCAATTTCTTGTGGACAGTCAACTTGTCATAGACTTTTCTTTTATTAAACTGAAATAAACTGTTTGCTGCCCATGCCACTGAGCTAATTTGACTTTCTTGAAAAGAAAATATGAACATGTTATGGTTTGTGACAATAAGCATCATCATCCTGAAAATAAAACAAATCAGAAAATAATTACCAAACTCATTTTCCATTGACTGAAAGAGAAAAGCATCTACCATTTTCACAACTGTCTGTGAATTTCCTGTAGAGGTAATGTGGACCATCTTCTCTGGCCTTTTACCTTTATGAAGGTCCTCCCAAAACACATGAAGACGCAGTTCTCAAAAACATTATCTTGTCTACAAAAATTTGTATCTAATACTTGTGTTCTACAAAACATGATGGGTAAAGAGAGAAAAAAATAAGTAAGATACAAACATGTGACAGAAATAATTAGTTGTGGACAAATAATATAAAACAGGACCAATGATATGGTAGTTTATAGTTGCTTGTATGACTGATAAGAATCAAACAGTCAAAAGGGGTCCTGGTAAGAACAAGATTCATTTATGAGCTCTGTGAAGACAGAACCTTGCTCATTCAAGCTTTTGATGTCTCACCCTAGGATTTTTTATGCCCACCTTTCATGTTGGCCGCGGTCTCCCTCTGAAAGGGTGTGATGGTGTCCAGACAGCGCGAGAATACAAGAACAAAGCAAAGC